CAACCGCAATTTGGTGACGTTTTCCCTTTCCAACCCAGATTACACCATGTTTTTAGTCTGCGTTGTGGGTAGCCACGTCTTTAAAAATTGTCTTTAAACTTGAAAAATACGTCCGCAACGCTATAGCTGACGTATCTGTTGCCTTGTAAACTGACGTTGTTGTACACAGTTCAATTGTCACCCAATGCTCCTTCGAGGTCCAGCTTGAAAGCCAATTTCACGGTGCCCGGTACAATAACATCGTCTATACCCAATGCCGGGAATTCGAGTCCCACCCGAGTAAGCTTGTGAGGTTTTCTCGCAAGCTCTCGGACAAGCACTGAGCATACAGTGCTTATTAATATACGTTGGGTACGGGCAAACCGTTATATATAAAGATATATGAAATAAAATGGGCAGTGTACTAATGATGGTTGGGGGAGCTATAGTAAATGTATCGGCGTTTACAGGGTCCAGTTTTTTATTTAGCAGTCTGAGTCAAAAACGAATCGACGAAGAACGAAAGCGACACGACCTCGCGTTGGAAAAACTGGCAAAGCCCAAACAAACCTGGGAAGAAAATTGCGTTCATTTGTTGGACTTTTCAAACAAACGTATGAGGCAAGAGCGCCTGAGTCAGCACGAATTTACTGACGTGGACGAGGCGTTTAGAGCTTACTCAGAATTAACGGAAAAAGTATTGCCCTTGCGACCAGAGCCCAAGTTGTCAGATTTTTACGTACCTTCAGAAGATTTCAGATAATTTGCATCAAAAGAAGTGTGCGGACATGTCGTTATTACGGATTTGGCTAAAAGTTACATACCCAGATACCTAGATTGTAAACGTAGACCCAGGATCGGGTTTAAAGGTGAGTTTAAAAAGTTTTTTCGTAAACAAAGGCGTTCAGATACAAGTGGGCGAACCCGTAGTTCATTGGTCGTAGGGAATCGTTGAATGGTACAACAGGACATTGGCTGAACGGTTGTTTGTATATCAATACGTGCACGAAATGCTAAGCCCTGGCGAACAAAACGTGGAAAGGAGATCCCGTTTGCCACCGGTCGTAAAATCGCTAAACGACAAAAATACGTGATCAATTGACGCAAAGCTCGCAGAAGCTATCAAATTAGACCGAGTAAAACAAACACAAGCAGCACCCATAAAAAGCAAAGCGCAAAAACAACTTGCACCAAACTTTTTAGTGTGGTATTTGTATTACCCGGGCGAACAAGAAGGTGGCACCGTCAAAATGGCAACCGATCCGATATGGAGCGTCAACGTTTATCAAATCGAGAAGGGCACAAGCCAATTCAAACGAGTCAATGGCAAAAAAAGTAAAAACAGGCCCGACTTTATACTATTAAGTGGTACCTGAGGACACAGAATTACCGCCTTCTTCCGATAGTCGATAATGCCCGTAAGCTGAAGTGTCAATTCCATTTGGTAATATGTAACGCTTCGTGTCCATGGGTGACAAACACAGCTTGTTTTGCTCGACTGTGTACAACAGATGCTTGTCCGATCTGAACAGTTGCTGTTTTTAAATGCTGCAACCGTTCCAATAGGCACCTTTAAAGAGCCTCGTGCGACAGTTGTTTCTCAGTAACTACCGTTGTGACTCCTTTCGCCTTTTTCAGGTTTTGTGTTTCCGTTAAAATGGAGTACATTTTTGGCCTAATGCAAATAGCTTCGGACATAAGTTTACCACCAAATTTGTCTTTCATCTTACCGAATACTTTTTTGTTTTTGGTGCTGTAAAGTCGATAGTTGAGTAGATAATTGCTAAAATCAAATAATTTTCGCTGTTTGCGTAAATACTTCGTTAAATCGTCGGTTTGAATCTTTTCCAATAAGGAATCTGTATCTGTGTACTACAACCTTATTTGGTTGCCAAAACTCGATTTTAACTCGTTGTAGTAAAAACTGTACTTTAACGTTTTAGAGCACGCTCACGCTGCAATAAATTGGTTTATTTAACTTTATTTCTGTTCGATACATTTTGACAAACTAGAGATCGCATTCTTAAAACGGTGTAGTCGTTTTATATTTTGGTTTAAAAGTTAGTCTATGCGGAATCTTGCGTTACAAATACCTTGCAAATACCGAATTGTTTGTCAATTTGAAAAACTCTTTTTCAAAGTCAGACTTTGCTTTTTTGCGTAAGTCTGTATTTTTGTCGATGTAACTTTTCAATCAAGGCGCTTGGTGAAACAACATTACACGATGCACTTCTTTTAATTGAAGGCCTAGCTCCAGATATGGAACTTTTGTAGCATTCGACAATGAACGACATATTTGTATTTTGTAATCAATGTAGTAACGATCTTTCATACAGAAATAACTTTTTTCCGCTATAAATCAAATTTTTTTGGCAATCCGAAAGCCATTTGTTTGGTACCAAAATATTCTCAGGCGCCAATGGAAAATCGTTGTGCAAATCTGATCGTTCTGGATAATCTAAAGTTACTTCTAAAATATACCCCGTGGATGCGTTTGGCAAACGTTTCGCTATATATTCGAGAGTAAATTTACTTGTGTCTTTCTTCCAATAAAACTCATAGAAAGGTAACGGTTGACTCGTGGCCCAACCGTACAAACTGTTTGCGTCCAGATACATAATGTGCAACGTTGGCTCGTTTGGGTTGTAATCGGATAAACTCAAATTATTTGCTTTTGCGTTGCACTTTGCACCCACGCTAGAAATACCGCCTCGTTTAGCATGTTCAAAAAAACAGATGTTTGTCAATGTCTCTCAATAGCTCGAGTTTAATACCAGAATGTTTTATAGTTGGCGGGGTCCAAGCAATTTGTCGTTGCATTTAGTAACGTCACACATTAACCGAGAAATGTTCTTGACCCAGCATTAATGACTCTTTTCGCCTTCAGTAAAATAAAATAAATTAATGGGATCTTCTGAGCGTTTAGTTTATAAGGTATATTAATGCCTTTTTTCCCAGCATAACTAAATACGTTAATTACCAAGTCATTTTGCGATTTGATTCATGGAATTTGAGAATTTGGTGTTGGAAAGTCTACGTTTGTAAAATTTAAACCGTCGTCTGTTGAATATATCAAAATTCTACCATAGTGTGTCTTATAATTTAAATTAGTTTCTAGTTGGTTGTTTACTTTGTCTGAAAGTGGTTTAAAAGCCGCTCTCAACGACCGGCAAATGCACTCCTGATCGTTGTTTTGAACGTTAATTATTGATTTCTTGTCTGCCACATATTTGGAAGTAGAATATAGGTCGCTCCAACTGGGTTAAACTTCACCACGTTGATATAAAACGCGACTACTTTATCAAACATCTAACCAGATGCCTTAAGAACTCGAGCTTCAACGTCCCTTATAAGCTTGGCTTATCTGTTTAATGTATTTTTGACTTGTATTTTAGAAAAAAAAGCTCATTTTCGCCACTAAATGTGAATTTACCAAATTTTGTTTCTTTGGGCTTTTCCATTTTGAACCAAACCTTTATTACCGTTTGTAACTTGTATGAACCAATTTCTTCAAACTCGGCTAATGCTTTGTCTTGAACATGCTTTTTGTAAAATTCAAAAAAATTAATTAAATCGTCTTCAAAGACGTTAGGAATCAGTTCCCCATTTCTAAAATTACCTCGAAAGCGTCTAATTCTTCAAATGTCAACCTCTTCAAGCAATACCGCTTTGATATATGATTTAATCGCAGTAATTAGATCTTTAGGTAATATTCTGCCATTTGCCCCCGTTGGTGTGAATGATAAATCGTTGTCTTGAACTATTTTTAACAGTTGGTAATACACTTGACGCGTGAGATTTTTGAATTGCTGCTGGCTCGCTTGAATCGCTTTTACGAGCTCAGACTTGTTGTGTTGCCTGTGTATGGGCGGTAGTTAGGAATGTTGAAGTCGGCTAGAAAATCTTTTTTCAAATGGATAAAATTTGCCAAGGTAGGCCTGTGTCTTGGTCTATTTTCTCTGTCCATTTTTATATTTTCATATATAGGTTTTCAAAATTTATATCTCTTTTTTGCGACTAGTTTTGTATATTCAAATCTAGATAAATGAAAAATTCATTTATTTTCCCTCGGGGCGTTTCCAGGGAGCGGCCACGCCACGAAGGCTTGTGGGAGGGCCCGGTTGGTGGTTTAGCAGAACATAGTAGTTGGCCCAATACACGTTGTTTCATAACTCGGTTGGTGCCAAGCTGGGTTTGGGAGATCAAAGGTCAAATGGCAAGCCCTTGGTTTGGGGGAAGTCCTGTGGGGGAATTATGGGCCAGTTGGGGGTTAGGGAAGCCCTTGGGGGGGTCAAAGGCCAAATGACCAGCCCTTTTGGGAGTTTGGGTGTAAAAGGTCACTTGAAAATAGGGGAATTCCCTCTGGTCAGCGAAAAAGCGGGGCTGGTCGTCAACACACCGTTTCATAACTACTGATGCATGCATTGTGTACATGCAAATTTGTGCATATGCAAACTGTTCGTCTGCAGCAGTTGATCAAGCTGTGACTGCACTGCTCATTTACCAAATGCCTGTGATGTGGTGGCTGCTGTGCTGGCCGATCATGCCCCGTGGTTTCGCCGTGAGTCGCGCTCACTTGCACGGTACAATAGCGCTTGCTGTGAGTAAATCACTGTTTTGCAGACAATTTGAATGTACACATCACTTCTGCTACCCGCGCGGCTAATTGTAATGTTTTATCAGAGTCATATCATATTTTCTCAACCCCCTCCCCCAAAAAAGTCCTAAATGCAATTTAAATTGGAGGAAGATCATGCCTGGTTATTGACAATAAACTATTGTACACGTGCAAAGCTTGGATTTGATTCATAGGACTCGGAAAAGTTAAGACTTTCGAAGACTCGGACTTGACTGGGATTCGAACTGAATGGATTTGGACTCTGATGCAAGGACTCTGACTCGGATGCGTTGGACTCGTATACAGCACTGACCAGTACACATGTATTCTGATCAGCAGTAATGTCCCTCTTTACACTCTTTCAACATTCCAAATTTAATATTCTGAATTCCACAACTCTTACCTCGGACTTGAAGTGTTACGGCAATGTCTATGTCTGCAGCGTTTGACCCATCTTGTCTATTGGTGGCAGCGCATACTATCTGGGACACAGCCGGGTTCTTCGGTATGTCTACGATAACTGTATTGTAGCTATCGGTCAGATTGTTATTCCCGGTATTGGGAGTATTCGTCTGATTTCCAAGAGGTTGGTCTGAACTGCCACCGGCAGGGATGGTCCAGGTTAAGGTCGCTGCTGGCTTGACAGCAGGTGTGTTGCAGGTAAATTGATGATTCTCTCCAGCCACAATAGGGATGGAAGTGCTGCTGCTGTGTGATGTACTGTCGTAAACAACTGCAATGGAACTGGGTGGCACTACGAAACAATAATACATTAGCAACGTCAAGTGCATGCATAACATCTACAGTCTGATAGTGCTGCAACTTAAAACTGCATTTGAACATGACAGCATTCGTGTTGCAAAAAATTCACATACAGGTAAAAAACAGTAAATGCAGTATTCTCTTTAAGTCTATTCAATTTTTTGGCAGATCTGTGTATAGTATGGTTTCATGCAGGCATTTTCTTTTTTTGCTATAGAATATTAAGGCCATGTAAATGTAAATACATGTAGCACAGTACATGATTTGTATATCAAAAGAAGCGTTTTCCATTTTATTAAGCTTTATTTGAAACAAGAAACAGGTAATTATTCGCTACATGCGGTAGACCCCCACCACACATATGTGTGGGGCAGGGGGTCTTCAGCACTCATCTTACTCGCGGAGCTACATGTTCATGTATGTGTGTACCTACAGCGTATGCAGAGTAGCTCCAAAAAATTCATGAAGGAGGTGGGTGCAACATGCTACTCCGTGTTGTAGGATATGGTTGAGTAAGGTTAACATATACTGGTCATTATGAATATGCATCAATAATCATATGTAAGGTACATGTACATATAATGTGGGTATTCATCTATACGTGTACATGTACATGGGCCTAACCGTGTATTCTGTCAAGTGAAAATGCTGAGGGCTGCGTAAACACATATTTTAGTCTTGATGAGCTGTTCTTCCAGAAGGGTCCTCAGAAGGGACAATGTCCCGAAGGGTTCATAATAAGGGAAAGTGAAAGTTTCCTAAGACGGAGATCCCAGTAGTTGACAATCTTACAAGTACATACAGCGTATGTACATGTCGGAGGCTGTGTGACCCAGGGCATACATGTGCATACATGTAGCTATTAGAGATTGGTGAGCTGCCAGGAAAACACATGTGACTGCAATGGCTGATTGGCAGTTTTTCACTGTGTCCAGTATTCATATATTCAGGTATAATTGGCCTGGTAGAATTTTGTTTGCCTCCCAGCACCCTGAATTTGGCACGGGCTGTCGGGTGAATGATACATGTATGAACATTATTATTATTACAAAATCTCAGAAAATCCTCCCAAAAATTCATTACTCCCACCCCTACCTCCTCAAAACGTGAAAAAATGGGATGTGCATTGAAAACAGGTCATTTAGTACTTCAGGAAGAAAAATGTGAACACAGGCAAAAATAAAATATCATCGAGACTTGTTGAAATCAACATTTGTAAATCAGAATATTTGGAGTTTGATTTAAATGTATTAATTCATTTTTAAACAATTTTATTTAGGGTAACCCATCCAGCAGAAGCTGGTCCTTCGGGGCCATCGTTAAAAAGAAAAAGAAATACACAAGATCGTATTATGTGTATGTATATATATATATATATATATATATATATATATATATATATATATATATATATATATATATATATATATATATATAACAGTTATAAGTTATATATATAAGTTATATATAAGTTTTAACAGAGGGCAGATAAGTATAGGTACAGGGGAAAAGACAATCATGAGCGTCCCCCTACCCCCTTGCATTGATATTAACCTCAAAAAATACAAGGTTAATACAAATACGTCAAACTCAAATCCTATTCTCTCTTATTCTTTAGCTGTGATGTCGTCACTGGAAGGAGACGATCTACACAGTGAATGGTGAGTGGTCTGAATTTTTAGCCCTATGGGAATTCAAAATAAATATTCATGAGCCTAATCTCAAGCTGTACCCTTTTTACTTGCAAGTCCGATTTAACCCCCCTAAAAAAAATCTTTGTGTATTTTTCATTGCAGAAAAACTCGGATTTGGTCAATTGTGGATATTTTCTATCTAGGTCAATAGTTACGGCGCTGGTTCCACTGAGGTTTCACAGCAGTACTATCGGCAATACCACGTCATATGGGCTGTACGTGTATACATCGTACATGTACATGCACTTTCGAATAGCCATAACTTTGGCTTGAAATCCGTCTCATGCTTACTCCCATTACCATGCTGCATGGATCAACCTGACTTCAGGCTGGAAAAAACATTGGTGAGATTGACGAATGATTAAAAAAAAAGGCTGAAAAAAGGCATTGAGAAACTGAACTGCGAAATATCCTATACATTGTTCACAGCCAGTGAGGGAAAACAAAAAGCTGAAATCAGCTGTAAAGCTGAGAAATATCACCCCTAAAAAAGTCTGTGTGCCCATGTGATCACAAACTGCATTTTGATTGGACAAGATGGCTGGGCTAAGTACAGCTACCAAAGTACACATACACTATGATGACAACGCTTGAGGTACAGACCTGCGTGGCACAGTGAGTCAAACAAGCTGTGAAGTGATTTGCACAGTAATGGTAGTATATATTTTGTGTGAAAACAAAATGATGCTTGAGTAGTGGGAATTAGCCGGTTAAAACCCACTTACCTTTTCCACCCAGTTTCCTCATTACCCCTGGGTAGTACATCGACTCAAAAAATCAGGGGAATTCCCTAAAAACCTGAAATTCCAGATTTTAACCATTTTCCCTGGGTACCTCATCGACCCCCAAAAATCAGCTTTAAAAATACGAGGTAAATATACCCCTTCTGAGCCAAAATCCCCTTTCACCCACTCGCGCCGGGGATTCCCACTTCACTCACCTTGAACTCTTGACCCCGGCGCACTTTTTTGTCAACAACTCGCGACTCGACGCCAACTCCCCTTTCACCCACTCGCGCAGGGGATTCCCAGTTACCTTTTGTCCCCGGCGCACTTTTCCTGTCAACAACTCGTGACCAGCACCGATCGCACAAACAATCACTCTACATATAAATAGAGACATGAGCAACCACCAACACCGACCTCTACTATCAACCTTTAATCGATTTAGGCATTTTTAGAAGATTTTGTCAAGCGGTATAACATCCCATTACTGGCACCCAAGCGTAAATCTCACATCAAACCCGAGCTCATGGAAGCCATACGGGCAGATCAAAAACAATTTAAGTACCTCCAGCGCCAGTCATATCGGCAGCTGTTGAAAACGGTGCAAAAATATAATATTCCTTTTGCAAACAAAGACAGGTATGTTAAACAGGACTTTATTGAAGCGATTAAAGCTTACATTCAGCCCGAGGAAATTGCGGAAGTCGACATTAGAAACGTCAGGCGTTTTAAAGGTAATTACCGCAATTGGGAATTGATACCCCGTTTCTTTGAATACGACTTTGTGCACTTTTTTTATTTTTACAAAACTTTTATCGAGAAGAAAGCGTTAGAGGAGTTAAAGGAAGTGGGTTCCTACAAATTGCAAACGGCTCTAAAATTGCAGTTTAGATTGGAAAAAAACCGAAAAAATGAATTTGGCGTATTTCCCTTTCCAAGCGAAAATAATTTAGTTGCAACCAAACCTGACGTGAAAAATGCATTCGCTGAACAGAGGGAAAAACGGATAGAGGACGTGGAGGCTCATACACAAAAAAGTTCGGGTTGGATCTTTGATAAAGTAAAAGCTTTTTACATCCACGTGGTTAAATACAACCCGGTGGGCGCGACTTGCATCCCGCTACCAAAGTATTTGAGGGACAAAAAGGCAATCATAAACGTCCAAAACAAAAATGACCAGGTATGCATCAGATGGGCACTGAGAGCAGCTTTAAAGTTATATTCTGACAAAGTAAAAAGTCAGTTAGAAACAAATTCAAATTACAAAATACGTGACGAGCGAACATCGACTTACACAGAAGCAGACGGTCTAAATTTTACAAACATAAGCTTTCCAACACCCATATCTCAGATCCCGCGTATCGAATCGCAAAATAATTTGGCAATCAATGTGTTTGGGTTACGACAAAAAGACGGTCTTTACATTCTTTATAAAAGCAAAAAAACGTCTGAACCTAAACAAATTTTAAAATTAAATTTACTTTATTTTACCCGAGGTGAAAAGAGTCACTACTGCTGGATCAAAAACTTTCCTCGGTTGACAGGTGATATCGATCATCGCCAGCATAAGAAACACTGGTGCTTCAAATGCTTGTCACATTTTCAAGAGGCAGAAAAACTTGCTCGGCACAAAGAAGATTGTAACGGAATTGACACACCGGCTTCTAAAGTAGAATTACCCGCCAAAGGCGAAAACATTCTCAAGTTTAAAAATTATAAAAACAAACAAGCCGCCCCTTTTGTCATTTACGCTGATTTTGAGTCTGTTTTAGAAAAAATACCGCTGACAGATACAAACACGGTCAAAACACAAATTCATAAGCCTTGTGGATACTCGTACGACTACGACCCGAATCAACCGGAGTCTCATATTATATACCTGGACGCCAATAATTTATACGGCTGGGCCATGAGTCAGTATCTACCCGTGGGTGAGTTTCAGTGGCTAAAAACCTTAGACCAGTTTACTACCGAGTTTATTTTCAAGATACGAGCCGAAGACACGCGCGGTTACATGTTTGGAGTGACTTTAGACTATCCGCAACACTTACACGACAAACACAACGACTCCCCGCGTGCTCCCGAAAATAAGTCGATTCCCAATGAATGGTTTTCAGGCTACCAACAAAATTTAATTAGCAACGGAGAAAAAGTAACCTCGGTAGACAAACTCGTGGTCACTTTGGGTACCAAACGAAAATATGTGGTTCACTACCGAACTTTACAGAAATATTTAGAACTAGGATTAGATTAAAAGAGGTACACCGTGTCATGTCGTTTAAACAGTGGCCTTGGATGAAAAGCTACATCAATAAAAAATACCGAATTGCGCAAATTGGCCAGATTGATTTTGAGAAGGATTTCTTCAAATTGATGAATAATTCTGTTTTTGGCAAGACGATGGAAAATGTCAGATATCGTATTGACGGTCATTTATTGAGAGACTTACAAGACGCTGAGAAATATAAAAATTTAACCAAAATGCAAATCAACGGTACCGTTTAAAGAGTGCAATCTTTCATTTGTGGAAATGTATCGCATAAATACCAAGCTAAATAAGCCGATGTATTGCG